TTTTTTTTGTGAAAAAAATTTTCCATAAAATTATAAAGTGCCCCCCCCCCCCCCCCCCCCCCCCACACACACACACACACCTTTCATAGAAAATCTAAATTATTTATTAGTTGACTGTATTAATAAAATCAGATATTGAACCAGACCCAAAGTAAACATGACAAAGTGGTAGTTAATGTGCTTTACAAATAATGTATATGTTTGACCTGTTAAAATGTGGTGGTCTCATGATCCAACTAGGAAGTGCACTTTATAGTTTTATGTACTCCCATCACCTATCCTAGGCAAGAAAGTAAAAATAATAATAATAATAATAATTTATTCAGCTTTGAATGTTACAATTTAACATTGTTTGCTGTCTAGACTACTACAGAAACTACCATATTATGCTTACAGAATTATGAATTGGGGTCAAATCTAAAAACAAGTTGTACATTTAAAATACACAGTAAAGCTAACTTCTATTTGTTTTGTTCTGAAGAATTTGGGATTTAAGTGAATACCTTCACCTTTTATTTTTATCTATCCATAACACTAGCATTTCATATATGCTTATTTACTAAACATAGATCACACTGTTATTTTCAAATGGCAGCTTTATATTGGTTTTGTATAATATTCAGGCTAAAGATTCCTCTTCCCCCCCTCCCCCATCATATGTGGGTAACATTTTATTCAGTTTTTCTTTCTTCGTGGACCTATTTGTGGATATTACCCTATAGGAATGGCTACTATTTCAAATTGCCAGATACTTTACTGATATTAGATAGCCCAGAGACTTAATTCAACTTTGATTAAGTGTGATTACTTACTTGTGAATGTCTTCAAGTGTTATCTTGACTTCATGTATGAAATTTCCTCAATCTTTTTATGCTTTAAAACATTTAGGTTCTCCAAGGAAGAACAAACAAGCTCAAATATAGAGAGATATCTTGAGATTACAACCAAAAACACCCTAGTTATACTTTACTTGGTAACACGCAATATATAAAGGAAGTGTGAAGGCAGTGGAATTGCCCAGGCTATAAATAGACTCTTGTCATTGCTGCACAATCAACCAAAAAAAACCCTAGTTATAATTATTGTTCACTTATAGCTGTCCTTAGTAACAAGCACAACATAAAGGGAGTGTGAAGGCAGTGGAATTGCCCAGGCTATAAAAAGGCTCATTCAGGAAAACAGATGCTAAAATGAAACTCAAAGGAAACCATCTACAAGTTATTGTGTTCACACAGAACAAGTTACTAACTTCCAACTCAGCAAATAAAAACTACACAATGAACCCAAGTATTGACTTGTGACAGCATGCTNATGTGGGTAACATTTTATTCAGTTTTTCTTTCTTCGTGGACCTATTTGTGGATATTACCCTATAGGAATGGCTACTATTTCAAATTGCCAGATATTTTACTGATATTAGATAGCCCAGAGACTTAATTCAACTTTGATTAAGTGTGATTACTTACTTGTGAATGTCTTCAAGTGTTATCTTGACTTCATGTATGAAATTTCCTCAATCTTTTTATGCTTTAAAACATTTAGGTTCTCCAAGGAAGAACAAACAAGCTCAAATATAGAGAGATATCTTGAGATTACAACCAAAAACACCCTAGTTATACTTTACTTGGTAACACGCAATATATAAAGGAAGTGTGAAGGCAGTGGAATTGCCCAGGCTATAAATAGACTCTTGTCATTGCTGCACAATCAACCAAAAAAAACCCTAGTTATAATTATTGTTCACTTATAGCTGTCCTTAGTAACAAGCACAACATAAAGGGAGTGTGAAGGCAGTGGAATTGCCCAGGCTATAAAAAGGCTCATTCAGGAAAACAGATGCTAAAATGAAACTCAAAGGAAACCATCTACAAGTTATTGTGTTCACACAGAACAAGTTACTAACTTCCAACTCAGCAAATAAAAACTACACAATGAACCCAAGTATTGACTTGTGACAGCATGCTCAGTAGGCTTGGGATACGGTAGCTTTTAGACCTCACCCATCCATGATGAAGCTATAGATATTGAATCAACCATTAAAAATCAACACATTGTACCATTGACAATTAATGTAATAATGGCTGGTCTTTGGTTGTCATGAAAGCAACCAAATACAGATACTGATTCAATGTGCAAATAAATGTGCCTCATCTACTATCTCCTCTCTATACATTGGCACACAGATACCCCAAATTAGATCATACATACAAAGGTAGGACAAGAAGGCTTTAGGTCAATCATTGGCCAGACAAGAAGCCTTTGCTTATGATACCTGTATTAAAATGTAGTATTTACTTCAAACCACAATGGGCTCAGGTCCCTCTTATAAAATGTCACACTAGATATAAAGACTGGAGATACATATTTCGCTCTTAAATGATCTTATGTGTTGTATTTGGATCACCCTAGGATTAAATTTCTATTTAATTTCACAATGAGGTCAATTAGGTCAAGCCTGGACCTCAAGTGATTATGGAATTGACAGGGCCCCATTTAAATTGCACATTAAACACGTTTCTCTGACATTTGGATATTGAGAAATTATGGTATTTACGCTTAAAATGTCATGACCTTGTAATTAGATTATAACCTTAACCTCTGGTGACCTTTAAATTAGTAACAAATGATTGTTGATTTTTCACTTAGTAGAAATTGATACATTAAACAAGTTTAAGTCACATAGGGTTGCCAAGATATAGATAAAATAACATTTTTCACTCAAAAAGTACCATGACCTTGAAATTTGTACATAACCTTAGCCTCTGGTAACCTTAAAATAGTTGCAAGTGTTTGGCAGTGCCTCACTTGGTTGGTATTGTTTCTTATAACATGTTTCTATTACAGTGAGAAACTGTAATATAGACATTATAGCTCTTTTTTCCTCCAAAAGTACCTTGACCTTGTAATAAGGTCATGACCTTGACCTTTGGTGATGTTGGCAATAGTTGCAATAGATTGTGAATCCTTCCCTTAGTAGAAATTGATACTTAAAACATGTCTCTGTGACATTGGGTTCCCAAGATATGGACTTCAAGGTGGCCCACCCCATTCAATGGTAGCCATTTTGGATATTTGTGGAAAACGAGACTTTGCCATGGAGGGATTCATGGGGAAAATTTTTTGGGCTATGTTTGGCCTTTCAGTGGACCAGAATCAGTTGAGAAACCTTTGTCACCTATTTTTCCAACCTAAGTTGTTTAATGACTGGCCTATCCTGTCATTGCAATGCAATCATTGAAGTATAGTAGATCCCTGACACAATGGTTGAATGCAGTTATACTGTAAGGGAAATACTTAGGGACCATTCCCACAGATATTTGGATCGATCTATCTTCTTGGGGAGTCTCACTAAATTGCTGTCAACTTGACTGGCTTAAATGTCTTTTACACCTAGTAAAACTGTTAGGGCGTAATTATCTTTACCCTTAGCTGATTCGGTAGGCGTGACAGACATATAAGCCTCGTGAGCTGATAGCAATTTAGCGTGAACCCCCAGGAAGTAAGGTCAATCCAGATGGATCGATCAATCTAAGTATGGGAACCCAGTCTTAATCTAGGTCACAATCAATATCCAAGGAAAGGACAACAACATTCTCCCTTTGACTAAACCTGTGAACGACAAAACATGTCCTTATTGACATCTTGTTCAGCTCAACCTGTTTTGATGGCTGGACTTCTAATCCCCATTCTTCCTGAATGATTAAATTTGATTTCTCATGGATGGCACTTCACCTTTTATTTTTATCTATCCATAACACTAGCATTTCATATATGCTTATTTACTAAACATAGATCACACTGTTATTTTCAAATGGCAGCTTTATATTGGTTTTGTATAATATTCAGGCTAAAGATTCCTCCTCCCCCCCTCCCCCATCATATGTGGGTAACATTTTATTCAGTTTTTCTTTCTTCGTGGACCTATTTGTGGATATTACCCTATAGG